AGGGACCCAAGGACGATAAGAACAAGGGTGGGGGTCGACAAATGGGAGAATTTCGGAAGATTAGAGCTCCTATTTTCGAAGGGGAAGACGCGTTTGGATGGATTTATATGGTGGAGCATTTCTTTGAGATCCAAGACATTGGAGTACGTGATCGTTTGAAGGCAGCAACGATTTGCTTGGACGGCAAGGCGCTGGCTTGGTTTGCTTGGAGTCAAGCAAGGGACCCATTCCGCTCTTGGGAGGATTTAAAAGAATGGTTGTTGGAGCGATTCCAGTTAACAGGTGAAGGCAATATCTATCATCAGTTTCTCACCATCCGACAAGAAGGAACTGTACGTGACTACGTAAGCAATTTTGAGAGACTGTCATGTTAGTTGGGAGACATACCAGAAAGCGTGTTGGAAGGTACCTTCATTAATGGTCTCAAGGATGACACACGTTCGGCCGTTCGTATTTTACAGCAGCAAACTTGGCCAGAGCCATGACTCTTGCTGTTATGATAGATGAAAACAAGTTCAGTATTGGCACACCCAAGACTAGTGGAGGGGTAATTCGGTCCAACAACAGTGGGTCTAGTCGACCAGGTGGAGCTTTTACCAACATGGGTTGTATCATCATCTAGTATTTTTTGATGTTATTTGTGAAGGGCTTAATGAGTCACTTTAAATAGTGCAATCACCCTGTGTAGACATGCATGAGTTTGTCCTCAGCTTGTATCACCTCACACGGAGCATTTCATGCAAGCATGGCATATTGCTTTAGCCATGTAAGTCCCAAAATTTTACAACTTCAACCTCATTTCCTTTTTCTTAGAATTTTTACTTAAAACACATTTGACAATACTTAAATTTCTTAATGTCAACAAAATTCGGGATGATATTCAAAAGGAGGATGCTTTTCGAGGTCTCTATGCAATGGTATGCATCTGCTTTTGTTTGGTTTAGACTTTTGATTTGATTTGAAGCAGAAACTTACTTATGTTTTTTTGGTTTGCAGGTGAAAGTGAACACATCAGTGGATTTAAGTTCACTTGTTTTCTTATGTAGAGCCATTTCTAGTTGGCATGTAAGTTTTTCATTTCAACTATTCTTCAACACACACACACACAGTATATATACATGTGTCAACACCATTTCAGCATGCACACCTGATTTTTAGAGGCTAGTCAATAGTCATGGTCTGGGGTAAAATTGAAGAAATCAAGTAAACACACAGTATATATACACGTGTCAAAATAGAAGCTTTTCTTAATTCCATTTTGTTTTCAGTAAGTGTTCCAGTTTTATCAGAAAACACATAACAAATTTGACCTAAATCTTCATTTATACTTAAGGATCTGCATTGAAACCTTGAGTTTGTACTGCTATCATACATGTGTTTGTCTTCTATCATGAAATAAGATTGACCTAATCGAACCAATTCCATGGTGATGTATAAAGATATCGGAATCATGATCTGAAACACAATAACAGAACTCAAAAACGCAAAAAACATCTCCATTGGAATCCCATAGTATTTATACGGTTTTCCTGGAAACTTTCCCTTTATAAGATAGCTCTTTCTGTAATAAGGAATCGTATCAATTGCATCCTGATGACTCATTAGCCATAAACACATCCCAATAGCAACAACAAGACACAATATGAATAGAAAAACAGATAACCAGATAGTTTCTGAGTTCATTGCTTGTTCAAGTCTGCTTCTTTTTGAAGGGGAAATTGCACTATTTAGCATAGCTTTTGTCTCTTGTCCAGCGTACACAACAACACCTATAACCCATTTTGTGTTTTTCATCTGACACCGACGTAAGATAATGTTTGATTGACTAAGGGAAACTTTATGACCATTTAACTCTATTAGCTGTGAACTCATATATGTTTCTATTAGGTTGTTCACATCTAATTACCCCTGATATTGACCCTAATGGCATTAAGGATGTTTCTTGTCTAGCATAACGTGTCTTTAAATTTGACTCTCCATCTAAATTCATGGTTTGTATGTAAGCAATGCCACTAGGATCACTTATCCACATTAGCACCATGTCACAAGGGATTGTCACAAGAGATTCTTTGTTGTTCTCATTTCTGTCTGATCTGTGTCTTCTCCAATCCTCGTATCCATCTTTTATAGCAGTTACTGTGAGAATAAAAAGGAGAGGGAAAAGAGAGACTGTTCTTCCAAAGACTACAAGAGGAGGAAGCTGATTGAGAGTTGCAATGGCTAAAAAGTATATGTAAGCCACTTGATGAAACTGAATGAAGAGATTCTTGGGTTGGAAGTTTATAAGTGTGTATTTGCTAGTGGTGATCTTGTTTCCTGCTGAAAGTGGGTTGGTCTCCAAATGGCGGCCTAAGGACCAGGTAATCTCACTACAAATAAAACGACATTTAGTGGCACAGAAAAAGTGTCACTAAAAACCGAAAAAGTGCCACTAAATCCCCCCTGGATAATCAGCGGCACAAAAAAAAGTGTCACTAAAAACGCTACCACTAAAGGCCTTTAGTGGCAATTTTTCGTTGTGCCACTGCAACTTTATTGAGCTTTAATGGCACTTTTCTATTATGCCACTAAAATATTTGTAGGATTTAGTGGCACTATTTTGATGCCACTATTTTACTCTAAAATTAAATATTATTTCTATGCTTTTTATGGAATTTTTTAACACAATTATATTAACAAATTAGGTCTCAATTTTTTTAATTTTAAAGGTAATATAAAATAATAATAAGAGAACTTAGATAATGAATGAAATCATAATACCATTAAGTAAATTCAAACTTGTCTAACAAAAATACTATCAATAACTAATTTATAATACAAATGTCTTCAAAAAGATTTAATAAATATAAATGTTGTACTAATACTAACAACATAATACTATCGAACTAAAACTTTTTAGGGAATAAACACAAAACTTGATTCACATCTCTTCTTTTGTTTCTGAATGATACCTACATAACAAATGAATAAAATTAGATCAATAAGACTTTTGAATAAAAACAAGACATGCAAAATTAATAAAATGCTTACCACCCTTCCATAGCTTGTTAAAGAGGGCTCTGAGGGTATAAAGCATGTAATATGATTACAATAGAAGAATAAGGCTTGAAAGCTATAAGGTATCAATTCCTTCCAAACCAACAATAGTAGTGAATTTTTTGGTCTTCACTAAATTTAGCTACATTTTTTATGGGACAAATGACACATTGCCAGCCAACTTGGAATTCCATCATCGAAATGTAATATCATCCAAATCTAGGTAGATATTTCATCCAAAAATAAAATAAAAAAAGAAACATAAACACTTACTTATTTGGCACCTCAAGCTTCTTTTGTCTTATTTATTTCCAGAATAGATGATATCAACTTTTAGACAATAAGCACTTCTAGTTTCTAACAAATGAAATACATTTAATTAAATCAGATCAATCAAATAAAATTAAATATAATGCATTTATACTATTATGTTACACAAAGTGATGATGCATAACTAAAGCAATCATCTCTTAGAAGCGTATGAGATTCAACTTGAAGTTGGTCAAATTGAGCTCTTCTTTCCTGTAAATCCAAGAATAAACAATTTATCAACAAATATAATTAGAAACAACTCAATGACAATTAAGCAATTTTGTTTTTAAGTTATTTTATTCTTTTAAAATTAAAATTCATAACTCATAATTAACCTGATAATGTAACCAAAATGTATCCAAAAATGGAATCACGTAGGAGAGATATATCTTTGCTTCCCTTCTTTTGCTACAGGTTTAGACTTTTGGATCCTCATTGGAATTCATGAATCTTTTTTTCATGTTTTTCTTCTCACTCAACACGTCTACATTTAGTTCCTCCTCCCCATCTTCCCTGATTTTCATATTTCTAGTCTCTAATTCCTTTCCCATTGTTGGACCAGTGCCTCAGAAAACTTCTTGTATAAGTCGCTCAGTCATTTGTATGTGAATGTTACCAACCTACCTGCATTTGAAATATAATTTTAGCTAAAGATTCTTCTAGTTATGAATAAGGCAATAAAAATACAAGCATCTTTTGCTTCATATGTATACTGGTTATAAACTTTAGGATTCGTGACAGAAAAGCAAATATCATGGGTATATATGTGCAATGAATGAGTAAAACATTATATAATAGCAAAAAAATTAAACTCATAGTGGTATTCGTTTCAGGAATTTACCCGAGCACTTGATGTGCATCTCTAAACATGAAGGATATTCGATTAATATTGAAATAGAAATGCCAAAAACATCCAAACGACAACAAATTCCAACAATGTAGGTTAAAAAATAAACTCAAAAAAAGTTCTGACCAACAACAATTTACATCGAAAATCTGAAAATTTGAGAATAGAGTAGAGACAATCCTTAGAGTGTGTTAATGGAGAGCTTTCGACAGGATGGAGAAGGCCAAGGGTGAGATCGAAGGGTAGATTTGTAATACATAGGGAGAGATCGCAGGATTTTCTGATTACATTTTCAATGGAATCCAACAACTCAATATATAGGGTTTGAGATGAATGTAGAGGATCCGAAATCGGACCTATTCAACAGGCAGAAAAACAAGATGAAATCGATGATGAGATATAGAAATCTTCAATCAACTATGAGATACCGAGATAGATTTGGTCTTGAACGAGCTTCTACAAACGAGATGTTAAGATTTAACCAGCAGCAAAGAAGGAGATGATACACAAGAGTGATGGGGATTTTGGTTATCGGAAGTGATTGCGAATTCAGGGGATCCAAAAATTTCAAATCTGTTTTGGAGTTTTGACCTAGAATTTAAAAGGGGTATGTGCAACGCCTTCAATGGTGGAGGGAATAAGGAGCGTGAAATGATAATTAGAAGGAAATATAACAGGTGCTCAACAAAAATTAGAACTTTCGAACATGATATAGTGGCATATAAAAATATGTGACACTAGAAACCTAATATAGTGGCATAAAAAAAATATACCACTAAAAAATTGTGCCACTAAATGTAATTTGGTTTGTAGTGTCTGTTGTTTCCTGCATTTACCCTTTCATCATTTTCGATTTCCTTTTGCATTTTATATGCTTATGAGATAATATGCTATCAGACAAGGTATATGCCTTGTTTCTGTTGGACCTATTAGTTTCCCACTATTACTGATTAGATGAGTAGGGTAACCTGTAATCATGTATGCTTGCCACATAAAGCTGTATTTTGCCATACTTGGCTTACTTGCACCAACAGTTATTAAGCAAAAAGCTTGTAGTGGGTGGTTTAGTTTTGTTAGTTGGAGTTCACATGATCGTCAAAGTAATTTGCTTTAGAGATTTGCTGGAGGCTTCTGTTGCTATATGCTAAACCCAACATGCTATTAGTGTTGCTGTTCTTGTAATTGTGATCATTCGTTGCTAATACAGCTATGCATTTGAAATCAGAGGCTATGATTTGTTGGGTTGTTATTGGTAGTGTATTTCTTTATAGTTAGCTCTAAAATGATGTTTTTTAACTGTAGATGAAAACAGGATGTGTTGCTCTTGTTTTATGTTTGAATATCAGTGTGGACTCACCCGATGTTATAAAGATTTCACCTTGTGCCAGGATTATAAGCAGACTACAGTTAAGTTAATTCATTGTCTT